TGTCTCGTCAATCTCCACTACCTTACCAGGACTCCCGATCTTTGAAGGATTCTTTAGGAAATATTCAGTGCAAACATTTCTAAAATAGTTCATGTAATCAACTAAAGTGTCGGAGCCTAGTTTGCTCCTCGTTTCACGAACCATTTCCGCTGCTATGTCTTCGTATGTGAGCCTTCTGTGTTTGGCGCAATACGCGGATAGACAGAAGACATCTTTTAAACCCAATTTAGAGTGTTCGAAAAATGTGCTGCTATAGAAACTCACTTTCTTTCTAGTAACGGATTGGAAACCAGAAGCGTGAAAATCGGAAGCAATGCAGCAGCATCGCCACATCGAAAAGCCAGTGGCTTCGGAACCAGAAGCTCCTGTACGGAAGGTGGGAGCCCTACCACTACACCACACTATCACACCCACGCGAGCGTTTCAAGGTATACATAAACGTGTAAATAAGCGAGTAGGGACGCTGCTCTCCCCTTTTCCTTTGCCGCTTTCCCCTTCACTGTCCCCTACCCTAACTTCCCCTCCAAAAACCAGCTAGCCAGTCAGCGCGCTGGGGCCGTCAATCGACAGGAGTGCCGATAATTGTAATGGGTACGTCGTTATTATGATCTAGCGCGCCTTACTGAGCTGCTGAACATCAAACTTAAATAATTAGACCTTCATTACAAAAAAACATAACATTCAAACAAAATAACATAGTAAAAAGTGCAGCAAATATGACGACCGATAAAAATAAGTAGAACTAAAATTAAAGAGAATTAAGCTGATAAAACTATAAAAGGAAGGGTTGCTGGCCAACTATCACGCATCGCTATACGATGGCTCTGTTTCTTATTGATCCGCTTGAGCCGATCAGCCTTGGTTAACATGCACTTTTTAGCTGCCTCTTCGGCGCCGATCACCGATCAATCCTCTTGAGCCTACTCCTTCTGGCTTTCGCGTTAGTCTCGACAATTGGTGTTTTATTTGGCTCTGAATATGTTGGAAAATTTAGATTATTTAAGCAACCAGATGATTCGCAATCTAACAGCAAAGCAACAACAGGAAGTCACAGACGTAATGATAGTCAAGAGTAATGAGGAGCAGTTGGGATTTTACAAGATACATGAGTGTTTTCTGCTCTTGGCGACCAAGATTGTTGGAGACCTTCTATTGTTTGTAACCTTTTTGCTCCAAGTCAATTAGGGTTAATAAGAGCGCTGACAATGCGGCTTACAGTTGTTCTCTGTCTCCGACACGGACTTACAAGGTTCGAAGACTCCAATTGCCAGATAATTGGTTATGTCATGTCTGCTATTTTCAAAAGTGTAATACAACTTATAATTTTGTTCATTAATTAAACAAATGCAACAAAAGTAAGTCACTGTAAATCTTGACTAGAGCAAAATAATACCAATAATTTGTGAGATGTTGTAAAGCAGAAAATTATGCGTAAATTGCATTTCTTTTAAAAGATGACAATTTTTTTACATGTTTAATATCATTGCTTTTGTTGTGTTTACGTAACATCTAAACGAAAATACAAACAACAATTCGCTTTAAAAATGGCCGTCTCCTGCGACCAGAAATCGTTAAATTTTGTCAAATTTGGGCTGGACTAAAAGTTCCAAGAGATAATGATGTGGATAATAG